AGCGTACTGGTAGTAGTAGTAGTAGTAGTAGTAGTAGTAGTAGTAGTAGTAGTAGTAGTAGTAGTAGTAGTAGTAGTAGTAGTAGTAGTAGTAGTAGTAGAAGTAGTAGTAGTTGTTGCAGTTGTTGTTGTTCTTGCTTCTGATGTTGTTGGTGTTCTTGCAGTCTTCGCGACTTTGTAGAAGCCGTTTTGCACAACATCCCACCCAGCCAGACCATCCAGCCTGCTACAGACAAAACACCCTTTCTCACTTTGACGCCCTAGAGGTACAAGAGGAAAGACAAAATAAAGTAAAACAAGTTAAGATTTGCACCCCCCCCCCCACCAACTCAGTTCTGTATATTATAGATAGACTGATTTGATCTTACCAGTCAGCAGTCAGGATCAGAAATCGTAAGTATTTGATAAGATATCAGTCACACTGGGAAACCAACTCATTCTCTTTGCATGCTTTTAACTTATGTAAGAGTTTTCTGCACTTGCAACACAATGAGGTCATGTAAGTGCCGAAGATTAAAGGTGTTACAAGAGAGTGTAAAGCACAAAAAAGAAGGAGAGATGAGGACGATAGATGTTTGAAAGGAAAGAAGGAGCAGACAAAACCAGAGCACTTGCCAGCCACCCACTCTTTGCATACACGGCAAGGAAAGTAACCGTTGATAAAATCTATTCGTTTCTATAAAGTAATGTGTCTCGTAGTACTTAGACCTTTTCTCCAAAACTGAGAGTTTACGTACTACATGTATTTACGTTGGACCTTTCGCTTCGTGTGTGTTGAGAAAATTATATCTTCAGAAGAAAGAAAGAAATGTTTGCTGAAAACAGATTAAATGTCCTTTTTTCGTAGATTCTCAGTTCGTGTGACCATAAGTAAAGAAAATTACTAACGCAATTGTTATGTCATGTTATTTTCCTATCTCTCTTTCTCTCTCTCCTTCGCTCTATTTTTTGTTTCTCCCTTTCTCTGCCACTCTCACTCTTCCCTCTCTCTTTATGTCTCTCTTTCTTTCTTCTTCCCATCTCTCTTTCTTTCTCTTATTCTCCCTATTGTTTTCTTTCTCTCTTTCTCTTACTCTCTCTCTCTCTCTCTCTCTCTCTCTCTCTCTCCTCTCTCACACACACATAAATACAAACACACACGCACACACACACATGTACATACACGCACACACACACACACACACACACACACACACACACACACACACACACACACATACACACACACTCACACACACACCAATCACCTCCCCCCCTCCCCCTTACTCACACAAGCTCACTCTGTACACCATATCCCTTTGTTCAAATTCCTCACGGTTGAGTGCATGTAAAAGTTGAGGGAACGTGAGTCGAGATGAGGGGATTGTCGGCGATCCACTCAGAGGTTCACCCAAGGAAGGGACTGTGGGACGCGAGGTGGGACGGGGAAGGGGAAGGACGGAGAAGGAGAGAAGGGGTAGCACGAAGAAGAGGAGCAGAGGGTTTGAAAGAACCAAAACTGAAAAGCAAATGCAGAATCAGACTTAATTAACAAAATCTCTCTGTACCCTTTTCAATGTAGGTTCTTTTTTGCCCCCATCGACACACTTTAGATCGTTGAGAAAGCGGGGTTCGACTTTGCCTGTCAGGGCTAACCAGAGCTAAAAGCAATACAACCTCCCGGCAGAAAGACCGAGATACTCGATAAAAATCCTTCCAAGACGGGTATTGAACTCGGGTCTTCTGCGAGTGACAGCGCAGCGCCTAACTGCAACACCACAGACGCCACTGCAGAGGGTTCAAAAGGAGAAGAACAAAAAAGAATGAAATACAGCCGAAACGATCTAAGACAGCAACCGATTGTAGAGGAGAAAAGTTCCGTCTTATACGGGGTGCCCACTACGGCTGGATCGGGCCGATCGCCCGACTCGATCGCTTGAAACTGAAAACAAACACGTTTGTTTT